GGGCAAATTACAGAAATCACATACTTTTAAGGCAAAATTACAATCTATCCCTTAAAACTTTATAATTATAGAAATCTCTCAAACAGATACAATGATATAAGCGCTGATACATTAATATGATGCGCGAGATACATTAATCGTTAAGTAAGATACATTACATTTTATACATGATACACTAATCTGATGTACATTTTATACATGATACACTAATCTAATACGCGAGATACAATAATATAAGCGTTAATACATTAATCTGATGCGCGAAAATGAGTGATTTTGGAGATTTGTAAAACTTATAGGGGATAATGGTAATAAGTAAACCAAAAAGTGGGATTTCTATAATTTTTCCAAAAAATTAATGTTAAGATCCACAAAATGTATGAAGTAGACATGAATAAGATTTCTTGAGACATAATTTTTATTAAAGTCGTTTGTTTGTTTATAGATGTAATTTGTTTGTGAAGTACTTGTCATTTTATTTTACTAAGTCATTATAAGAGTAAAAAAAAGACACCTTGATACATAAAACATTTGCATTAGCAAAATTTAGAAAAAAATCGCATCTTAAGAGACGTAAAGCTTATACAACTCTTAACCTAGAAGAAATTAAATTTGGTCATACTTCTCTAGAAAATTTGTAAATCTTGAAGTCTAATTTTTAACCAATTGTATATCTTCAAGTTATATACACATGTGAATTGTATACTCCAAAGATATACAATATACAAGTATTGTGTAATTTTTTTAGTGCAACTCAAATGATCATATATTAAAGAATCACATTCATTCATCAATGTTGGGCCTATAAAAAGGAAAGTCAAGAACTGGGCCTTAACCTCACTTCATTGCAGCCTAATGGGCTCCAACATTCTAATAAGTTACATTTGTTCGATTTTCAGTTCGATTTTGTACCCTAACTCTAATATTGAGAAATTGAGAAAATAAACTAATTTAAATTTGAATTAATTTCTCAATTTTTCATCTTTGAAATTTGAGGTTAGAGAGGATTTTACAATAATCTAAAGATTCAAATTTGTTGATTTTGTTACTCAAGGGCTAAGCCAGTGTTCAAAACAGTTTTTTATTATGTTATTAATAATTTGAAAATAAATCTATGTTATTCAAATGTTAAAAACAAATAGTTTTAATTATCTAATATTTAAATATAGAGATAACATTTTAATATTTAAAGGCGTATGCATATTCAAATATCTTTACAAACTTGAATTAAGTAAATTATAAAAAAATGACACTTATTATTCTATCTTTCTAGACATACATTACTTAATCTCTTGTAAAAAATAAAAACAATAAGAGTTATAGGATATTCACATGTTCATTAGTAAAAATATTTTACTCGTAATAATAATGCTAGTTTTTCATTCAGGTAGACAAGTAAACACATCTATATGGACGAAAGAAATAAAACATAATATTACATAATTATTAGTACTCCAAAGTTACAACAATTGACTAGAATGAAAATAAGACTATAGAATTGGAGTAAATTAATTGGCTGTAACAGCGGCCTTGATACCATTAGCACAATGTGGTCCGATAGTACAAATGAAATATGATGTTCCTTGTGTGAGAGTTATTTTATCGTCTCCGGACGTGAAAGCTTGTCCCCCAGCACCATTACAAGAGTCAAACCCTGCTTGGTCCACCTTCACCACGTTGTGCGCTCCGGCTGGGTACTTAAACTCTGTATTTTTGTTAACATGAAAAAAGTACATATACGTTAATAACAGTTTTTCATCATTATTTGAATAGTAAATTTATCAATAAATTCTTACTGATAACATCGCCAGTCTTGAAAGTCTTGCCATTAGGCCAACCATTCAACTGGAAACCCCATCCATTAGCATCACCAGCAAGAAATGTATCTGCTTTTGAAATGTTGGTTTGAAGCAAGATGCAAAGCATCATAGCAAAGGCAACAATTGTGACTTTGTTTACTCCAGACATTTTGAGAATGAATAAATTTTATTAACTAGATAGATGCAAAAAGGGGTTAGAATAAAGGCTCTTAGTGTTGTTGTGCCAATTGAGTAAGAATGTAGGCCTTTATATAGGGAACTTTACACATACAAAATCATAATATTGGAACCTTTTATAGTAACAAAGTTAAAAAATGTCCATTTTTGTAATGACTTACTAACATTTTACAATATGAAAAAAGGGAAAAAATTGAGTGAGTTTCCAAAGATGCAAAAATGAGATAGATATCATTTGAATAGTTTTTTTTAAGAAAAAAAGATAAATGCAATTCTTTGACTATTGAAGTGAGGAAGAATTCATAATAGTTTTTTTTAAGAAAAAAAGATAAATGCAATTCTTTGACTATTGAAGTGAGGAAGAATTCATATTAGGGGAAATATATAATTAAAATTCCTAATATGTATAGTCCATTTTGGTTCGTTACATTTACAACTTCAATTTCTATCAATAATCAATTAGTCCCCCCTTTTGTGCCAAAAAGTTGTTGACGTTTATTTGGTTACTATATTTTGAGATTTCATATCATGTGGACAATTTATTGTTTGTTTAGTTGGTTTTTATATTTTGAAAGTTGAAACGTGAATCAATCACTCATTAGTATCATTAATTTTGAAATTGAACTGTTAGGTCTCATTGGTCCAAAATCATATTTTTTTTATCTGAAAACATACGAACTTCTTAAGGATATAATTATATCTCAACTTTGAGACGATTTGGTGAGATTTTGAATTGAATTTCATATTGAATTTCGAGATTGAAGATCATAAGAAGTATAACCTCATGTGTATGTCGTTTATTTATCATATGTCAAATATAATATTGATGCACATGATATACATAGAATATATACCAAATATATAGATGATATACATAGCTGCCGTCTTCGCAAAATATGACTTCAATATTTTTTTTTTATATCAAAACTAGTTTGAAACAGTTCTAAATGCACCCAAACTTTATAATCAACTCCTCCTAAATGTTTCTAATAATATCGAGTAATACTCAATTATGATACCATTGTGTTTTGGCTGCATCGAGTGCATTTAAATATGAAAATGAATATTATTATTAATTAAGTTACGTAATTGATTGAAAGTATCTATAAAAAAAAATTAACAATGGTTGTGGCGGAATCATAAGAACTTCTTCATTTTTAATCAAAGATTCTAGTTTGAGTCTCCTCGGGTACATAGTCACCTTTGTTAGGGAGCATTTTACCTCCCAATATGGACTTCCCAACCCATATTTGAATTTAATTCGGCTCCAATACGACAACCGAACCAATTGGAAAATAATTATCTAAATCATTTGTCAAGTTTAATACTTTAATTGTTCAAGAGAATTGTTTGAAACCTTTTTTCATACTTACTCTTCGTTTAAAAAGGTTCTTAACTACTTACATTTTCTAATAGAATAGTTCGAGAATAATCAAAAGAGTAATAGTGAAAAATAGTCTTTAATTTATGTCCTTAAATTTATTTTTTTTAAGGGTGTGCCAAATCCCAATAATTCAATTAATATGGACTAGAGGGAATCACACTAGACGCATGTATTTGTATGTATATGGAGTGACTCACATGTAATATCAAATACATGGGAGAGTGGCGAGCGAGATGAGAAAGGGACAAGGGAGGCGAGGAGATTCCAAATACATGTCAATTCACTTGGATACAATGTATCTAGAACAAATTACACCTAAATTTGACCACATGTATCCGAGATATATGTATCTAGACGTATCTTGAAGCATCAAAATCTTATAAGATACGTAATATTGCAAACTAGAGTATATTTAAATAGTTAGCTTCTAAACTAGTGAGATTTATGTAAGTTCCCTTTTCAAATCGGGTCCCCAAAATTCAACTAATGTTGTGTTTCTCCATTTTATAATTTTAATTTTAAGAGTATCAATTTAAAATTTGAGTTCACATTAATTAAATAATTATCATTATAATTATATGATGATTTTTTGATAATATATCAGACAGATTTAACATAAGTACCGAATAAAATTAACTTCATTAAATTGATTTTTGAAAAAATAAAATAAAATGATTTAGAACCTAATTTTGTGAATTTGAATGTGATATATGCTGGACAAGTTCTTTATCAAAAATGACAAAAAAAATATTTTGAGTCACATATATTAATCACATCTTCTTCTTTTTATTTTATTTTTCTGTCAAAATACTTATGAGTTATTAAATTATAAATTCTTTGTAACACCAGCAATATTTCTCTCATTTCTCTATGTAATTTCCCCTTCAGTAATATAATCATATTCTTTTCTTTTTAAAAAAAAAAATTATATTAATCTTTTTTCTTTTATTCTTGATAGCTCTATGTACCCAAAAAAATTAATGTTAAGATCCACAAAATGTATGAACTATGAAGTGGACATGAATAAGATTTCTCGAGACTTAATTTTTATTAATGTCGTTTGTTTGTTTATAAATGTCCTTTGTTTGTGAAGTACTTGTCATTTTATTTTACTAAGTCATTATAAGAGTTAAAAAAAAGAAGACACCTTGATACATAAAATATTTGCATTAGCAAAATTTAGAAAAGAATCGCACCTCAAGAGATGTAAAGCTTATACAACTCTTAACCTAGAAGTAATTTAATTTGGTCATACTTTTCAAGAAAATTTGTAAATCTTGAAGCCTAATTTTTAACCAGTTGTATATCTTCAAGTTATATACACATGTGAATTGTATACTTTAAAGATATACATTATACAAGTGTTGTGTAATTTTTTCGAGTGAATAACTTAAATGATCATATATTAAAGAATCACATTCATTCATCAATGTTGCGACAAAAGAAGAACAAAGTGACAAAATAATTATGATAATTTTCTTTTCACTTAAAGTACTCCACAAGCAAAACTCATGTTTACATATCATGAAATGAAATATTTTATATCATCGATACTCGAAATCATAATTATAAATGTGAAACAAAACCATTACGTTTCGATACATATAATTTGAAACAAATTAATTAGCAGTAATAGCAGTCTTGACACCTTCAGAACAATGTGGTCCGATAGTACAAATAAAATATGATGTCCCCTTTTCAAGTGGTATTTTGTCATCTCCTGAATTGTAAACTTGTCCTCCACTAGTTTTGCAAGAGTCATATTCTCCCTTGCTCACTTTTACCACATTGTGCATATCAACTTTATATTTAAATTCTGTAAAAAAAAAAACGTATAAATATGGTCAAGAAATAAAATTAAATAGTGAAAATGAATAGATGATTTTTTAAACCAAGATTTTATTAATGAATTCTTACCAATAACATCACCAGTGTTGAAAGTTTTGCCGTTAGGCCAACCATTCATATTAAAACCCCAACCTTTATCATCACCAGCAGGAAATGTAGCTGCATTTGAGATGTTGGATTGAAGTAAAATGCACAACATCATAACAAGGACAATAATTGTGGCTTTGTTTACTCCAAACATGTTGAAAATAGATATATTAATTAGATATATGCAAAAAGGATTAGAATGAAGGATGCTCTTAATATTGGTGTGCTAATTGAGTAAGAATATAGGCCATTATATAGGTATTTTTCTCACACATTTAAACTCAATATTTATTGAATTTGAAATATTTTATGTATTGGTATTGATGTTACTTTTATCTGTAATTAATTATAATTTCCTCATATTATAATGTGTGGAGACTTTAGTGTAACAAACTTAAAAGGTCTTTATTTCTATGTTGACTCAATAAAATGTTATTAAAGCAAAAAGGGGGGAATTCAATAGACCTTCTAGAAATGCAAAGTGAATAATATTGTTGTGGGTGAAAAAATAATAATAATATTGTTGTGGAATATATTATAAAAAGAAAAAATTGATATGTTTTTCACAGAGCAAAGTGAGAAGAATAATTTGCTAAGTATTATTTTAAAGTAAATGTAAATTCTTAACTAATATATTGAAATTTTATACATTTTCAACTGACCTTTTAGAGTTATTCATTATTGTGTAGACTATTAAATTTTAGTGTAAAGTACAAAAATCTCATAATTTTTTGCGGGCCAGTTACATTCTATCTCGAAAGTTTCTCCAATTATAAAAATTTTGGACTTATCATTGCTCTCGGATGATTTCTTGGTTGTCCGATACATTGTAAATGATACACTACTTAATGGGAAGGATGTAACCTAGAGATGTATTTGAGAGGAGATTTTTGTTATTTTTTTAAATGATGAAAATTTTAGAGATTATGATATCTTAAGTTGTGTATTTATGTAATTTTTCTTAAATTCGATAACCTAATGAAATCTCACTAGCTTATGAGTTAATTACTAAGATATTGTCATATTGCGGATCTTCTCAGATTTTTGTACGTCCAGCTACATCAAGATACACATATTTGAGATACATGTATGAATCACACTATATACTGTACCTGGTGTCGTTCGCGTGCATCTTAGATACATAAACAAATCTCATTCACTGCCCTCATATATCGCATCCCATGCGAATAACATAAGATACATGTATATATTGTGTATCTAATGTGATTTACATGTATATGAGATACATAGATAAATCTCACTCGCCGCTCTAGCCACCCTGTCATCTCGCTCACCACTCTCATATATCGCTCTTGTATATGATGTCCTAGATACATGTGAATCACGTATCTAACTTGAACTATGGTATGAAATTATTAAATAGTGAAATAAAATGTAATCATTTCAAACTATAAGGAGAATTAGTAAATATGGTAGGAATATCTGTATAATTAGGTAGTTTTCTTTTATAAACCTTAATAAAAATTGAGTTGAGTTGAGTCTTGATCTGTTTGATAACCTATTATCAAATCCGTTTCGACCCAACCAATGTTGATCCAAACAAATTTGAATTGAATTGAATCTTGACACATTTGTTATCTTGAATAGTTGTGTAATTAGGTAGTTTCTTTTATAGAACTTAATAAAATTTGAGTTAGGTTGAGTCTTGACCTATTTTATAACCCATTATCCACCTATTTCAACCCAACCCGTGATCCAAACAAATTTGAATTGAATTGGATCTTGACCCTTTTACTGTCTTGATTAATTATGACTCACCAAAATCTAACCCAACCCGTCCAATTATCACCACTAGATCACTCCTTCGTATGTTACAAATTTTCTTTTGCACAAACTTTTCTATTTAATAACTTTATATTCATAAAAAAGAACTTTTACAAGTGAAAAATAAATAAAGGGAAAATTTTCAAAACAATAATATTTTAGCATTTAATAGGACCTCATAGCCACAATTTCAATATGTATTAAAAATATCAATATTTTAGTTTGTTATATTGTTGATTTATGTATTTTTTTTTTCCATTTATTTAATTTGAAAAAGTGCAATTAGTTAATAACAAAATGATGAAAATAAGGGAGAGAATATTTCAAATAAGGTAAAATCATTGAAATTCCTCCTCAGTTACATTCCAAATAAAAATCGGCATGCCTTCTCTCTCCCTTATTCCTCAAATTTTCAACATTGATTTTCGATACTCCATTGATAATATTCAATCTATGCCAAATTGAAGTCGATTGATTTGAGATTATTGCGGCTAGTGAAGAAGATTTTAGAATGAATGCAAAATAAAAATTAAATACAAAACTTGTTGGCATACAAAGTGAAATTGAAATAAAAAGTGAGATTGAAATACAAAGTGAGCGCAAATAAATCTTGTTGGCATACATTTAGAATGAATACAAAAAAAAAAAAAAAAATACAAAACTTGTTGGCATACCTTCGGTCTTTAGAATGAATACAAAATAAAAAAGAAATACAAAACTTGTTGACTTACAAAGTTAGATTGAAACACAAAGTGATATTGAAATACAAAATGAGCACAAAAAATACAAAACTTGTTGGCAATATAATTATAATGAATGTAAAATAAAAAAGAAATACAAAATTGTTGGCATATAAAACGGGTTGCTATATATCTCATTGAAATATCAAGTAATCTTACAGGGCTAATAGGCCCAATGTTTATTGGGCTTCATTTTTCAATATTGGGCCCCCAAAACCCTGCTAACGCTGTGTTTCTCCACTTTATAAACCTCTCATCATCTCAAAACCCTAGCAGCAAGAACTCAGTAACAGCAGCCCGAAGAAGCAGACCGCCATTTTCTTGTCCTTTAAGGTACAAACCCTAACCAATTCCTCTGCAGTATCACAAGTTCATCTATATATGAATTAGGCATTTTCTCCGTAGGAGTTTCAATATTGGTGAAAAAATTGCAGGAACAGGTAATTCGTTTGAGTAGAAAATGTCGATCGGAGAAATTGCTAGTACCTACGCTTGTTTGATCCTTCACGACGATGACATCGCCATCACAGTTAGTTTCTTTGCCTGATAAGTTTTATCCGGATCTGTTTTTATCGTTTTGTGAAGTATTCATTTTGGTTTGTTTTGATTGTAATAGGCAGAGAAGATTTCTGCTCTTGTAAAAGCAGCAAATCTCACAATCGAGCCTTACTGGCCTCTCTTGTTCGCCAAGCTTGCCGAGAAGAAAAACATCTCAGATCTCATCATGAACGTTGGTGCCGGCGGTGGTGGTGTCGCTGCCGTTGCTGCCCCCGTCGGTGGTGCCGCCGCTGGTGGTGGTGCAGCAGCTGCCCCTGCTGCTGAAGTGAAGAAGGTAATGAACTATTTCATCTTTCTTTTTTTTCAGAATTCGTTTAACCACGAGTTGCATATATTTATAATTAACTGAGTGTTAATTTTTGTTTTATGTGTGTACAGGAGGAACCAAAGGAAGAAAGTGATGACGATATGGGATTCAGTTTGTTCGATTAGAAAGCTACCGTTAGTATGATCTGTTCTTTTGTTTCCAAAAAATATTGGTTAAAGTTTTAGTTTTGATGTTTGAGATATTTGGAAAGTTTAAGAGTAACATTTAATCATCAGGAGGTTATGTACTCTTGTTATGCTAGTTTTGTGCCTTAGTTTGAGCCATTTTTGTCAGTTTAATCAAATGTTTGCCCCTCTATTGTTAAAATTTAATTCTCTGTTTTGTTATATTGTCACGGATCTTTTACTTATTAAGTCTTACTTAACAAACAATAGAATGCTCTTAGTAACCACGAAACATTCCATGCTATTTTAGAGTCCCTGTCTTGACAATTTGCAATGTAAGGCTATGCTACTGTAGTTTTGATTTTGAGACAATTGGTGATGCAGCTTAACTGCCTGAATGGATCTTGATTTGGAAATGTCTTCCATATTTACATGATATGCATTTGAGCTGAGCTGTCTTCTTTCTATTCTTGATAAATTGTTCAGTAGATACCAGTTACAAACTACGTAGGATAAATTGTTCAGTAGATACCAGTTGCAAACGACGTAGGATAAGTTGTTTTAGGTAGTAGTCATTTGCAACTGGTGTTGATGAGATATGTTTTCTATGGAGTTCTTTGGCGGCAATCTACTGGCAGCTTTAGAATGTTGAATAATTATCTGTCCTTAGATTAATGTAAGTTGGATGCTAGTCTTTTGATATTTTCTTGGTCCTTAGGCCTACTACTCTACTGCCCTTCCTCTGTTCATTTTAGTATACATCAAAGTGGAGAAACTTGGTTTTATCTACTCCCAAGCAAATGGCCGATTTGAGCCAAGAACCAGCTTCAGCATGATGTAAAGAATCATAGTATTCACTATTTGATTCTAAATTCTTTATGAAATGGTTTGCATTTGTTATTTTTCGTGAATGTCTTTTGAAGTGATGGTCCTATTGAAAACTGATATGAAATTAGTGTAGTGGATTACATTTCTGTAGTCAAGTCTTCATTTTAAATACAAATGATATTATTATAAAGCCACGAACTGTGAATTTGAGTATGGAGTTGCCGTCTGTTGAAAGTGTAAATCTTTTATGTGGTGAAGAATCCTTCAAGTCACTGTGTCCCATGCTTGTGATTTAAATGATATTTGTGAGTAGCTGACCATTCGTTACCTCTTTAACTATACTTGCTACCTCATTTCTCCCCCTACTACCTAGAAATCTATGCTTGAATGTAAAACTTGTAACGGCTTCGTGCAGTTATCTGAGTGTCCTGACTCCTGAGTTGTCATTTGAGTTAAACTAATAAAACCTTCCAGAGGTCACTTGAATACTTGAAAAAGGCACACGCTTTGTAAGTCGAGATGGATTTGTATAACTTATAACATGATACGTTGCTTGCACCGTTCTTAGTTTAATAGCACCTTCTTAGCCATGATCGCCTCTTCCCGTTTTCTACCAAATGCAAGACAAGATCAAAATCATTCAACTTCTGAAGAGGTTTGTTAACAAAAAACAACAGAAGCCAACCAACACTGATGTAACTAGACAGCAAAGGAGACGCCTTTGATAAATAACATGTCTGATGTATGTAGAAGGCACTAGATTTGGAACATCAACTTGACACCGTAACAACATATTATCCCCATGGACTTC